AGAAAATATAAATAAAACCGTTCGTTTATATTTTATTCGTTAACTACGTCATTCGTTATTCAATATCTAGCCTTTATTATTAGATTAAATTTTCTTTAATTTTTGTGGACACCAGTTTAATGTGGATATCTGTTTGTGACTTTAGTTATTGATAGTTGGATACTGGTTGATAATTCATTATAATTCGTATATTCAACGTTCTTGCCGCGCACTTTATATTGACAAAGTTAACAGGGGCGTTCAATGAATTATCTGCAATGGAAGCAAAAAATAACGGGTTAATTTGTAACTACAAAAATTCTGAAAAAGTGTAAAGATATAGTTTTTGTTTTGTTTAAATTAGAATTAAGCTTACTATTGTATACACATATATATATAAGTATACTAATATGTATATATATTCTCAGTTGTACACATTTCGCTCCATTGACAATGCATTTAACTGATTAAAAGCTTTTTTAAGCGAGGTACACCTGTTTCAGCAAAATAAAGGGAATTAGTCTTGATATCGTATACGGTGTCAAATAACCAGTGGTTAATTAACTCAAATTGAGCAAATGAAAAACTCAGAAAAAGTAATGAAATAATTTTATTTTAACACATGTTGTACATACAAAACTGGCGTCACAAGGGGGTTAAGAGATTATGACATCCGGCAGAATTGTGACTACTTTATAAACTAATTTAATAGACACCATTTTTGGCCGTTTATATACTGTTTCTAAACAATTAGTTTCTCTATTTTATTTTACGTTCACTTTACGCGAAACCCCAGTTTATAATCAAATTTGTTATGAAATATTGAGATATTTATACAGTATACTAAAATATTTTATTTAACGCATCTTCTCTATTTGTAGTATTTAGAGCAAAATGAACTGATATATAATTACTATTAGTAACCATATGAGCTTAATCAAGCTTTAGAAAATTTTCTATTTAATAACTGTACATTCTTCACAACCGACCATCATAATTCCAAACTCAATCCTAACCATAAAGGTTTTTAAATCCCCTTCTATGCAACAGCTCTTCAGAAGTCAGTCTTAATACACTCAATGAACAGATAAGAAGTCTTGTGGACGTGGAGCTCAAAAACAAAATTTCTAGGGTTGGAGACACAATCTTTTAAAAATTTCGATGAGTTATTTTTGAAATAAATGGAACATATCATTGAACAGAAAAGGGCAGAAATTCATACCCTCTGAGAATTTTATTTACTACGCCATGAATATGCGAAAGCCTTGGACTTGAGTAAATATACAACTATGCCGCGTGTGCTCAGTTTACTCCTCACTTAGAGAAAGCTTAATTCCAGATATGTAAGACAAACCGCAAAGTAATAGCTTAAGCTGTTAAGCTAATCGAGCATGTGGATTTGCGGCTTTTGTCTTTTTTGGTAATCATGACATAATTATGTAAAACGGATGGTAATTAATCTTGAAACAATAAAATATAAGAGAAAAGCTGAAAGCTTGCAGTTAATTATTTGAAGCTTTTGACAATCGTTGTTATAAATAAGAATTTTATCTAAACGCGAACTTAATTAATGAAGAAAACTTTGTATTATATTATGAGAGCTGCCACCTGAATTTTGAATGAATTTTATATCAGACAATAATTTCTGGTCTGATCACTTTTAATTAGTTATTATATATATCAGAATACATAAAATATATGTATTTTGAAATTACTTGACACTTATGAGTTATTTATGCTTACAATGCTTGAGTGTTTAAATTAATAGCGGCAAAAGGGGGGAAAGAACATTCGATTTTCATAATTGACGCTTGAAATTTCACGCTGGACTAAAAAATTTTGATTACCTCGTTAAATAATAGGTGGGTCTGGAAGATCTCTCACCCGTCTTGAAAAGATATATACATACAAACATGTGTTATGTATGATAAAGGTTTGTGAATAGTTAGGTATGGGGACGTATGAATCACATATGTAAATTGCAGCGTTATTGATCACGAACGGGTGGCCTTCACCAAAATGTACTATAACACCGGGCTTTTGGACAACTTTCTCTTTGAGATTTTACCGCTACCAGATGCACCTATTGTATTATAGTAATAATCGAAAATAAAATATACTGGGACGTAGTCTATTATTAAATATGTTTAACCATGTATAACAAAAATTAAAAAGGTTAAAACTCCTCCGAGTGTTAAAATTACATTTATGTGTGAAATAAATATTAATTATGGTATTTCAAAAAAGTCTTAGACATTATTTATTGTAATTATAATTATTTTAAAATTTTATTTTGATATCTAGAAAAATTGAATAATAGAAAAATTAAACCAATGGCAACCTTTACATAAATACCGTCTCGTGTCTTTTAATTTATTATTCATTTGTGAATTTTTAAATTTCATATTAATAATATATAATAAAAATTTTAACAGGTGGCAACACTCAAACAAATTATTATCAACTTTAAACTGTCTTACACATTTCTGTATACTACTAAACTTATTTACTTTATGGTACCTTCAGATGGCAACCAACTCTTAAATCTTAGCTTGAATTATTTAGCAGTTAAAATCCACCAATTCTTATCTTGCTAATATTGTTTTATAAAATGAGTAGAGTAGAACGTTTTATCAGTGATTCTAAGGCTAATTAGATAGACTTACAAGTGACATATAGGAGTAAATTATATCGTATATATCCAAGTTCTCAGTTTCGATAATAATCTGAAAAAATTTAGATTGAATATTGAAGCGTCTTTAGTCAATGTTACATATAATTATGATAAATATGTAATATGTATTTATGGTATATGTATATAATATTTCAGTATCCACCTTCGAGATTTAGCTAAAAAATTGAGCGAGTTATTCAACGCTTGTTTTAGCTTATGTTGCCACAACAAGGGGAAATATTTAATGCACGTGCAACCGGATTTTCGCCATTAATCGCAAACACTAAAATAAGTTTACAAATACTGTTATGATATGTATGCCCATAAAATCGTCGAAATATGCGAAAATTCCAAATATTTACAGCAACTTAAAAATGTATCATACATAACACATGTTTGTATGTATGTATATCTCGCCTGTCAAGACGGGTGAGAGATCTTCCATGAGCCCCACTTACTTCATATTTAACACTTGAGTAATCAGAATTGTGTGCAGTCCAGCGTGAAATATTCAAGCGTCAATTATGAGAAATCGAATGTTCTTTCCCTTGCCCGTTTTTATTGCCGCTATTAATTATAAACACTCAAGCATGTCTTGGAAGCATAAATAACTGCATAAGAGTGTCAAGTAATTTCAAAATACATATATTTTTATGTATCTATTTCGATATTATAAAATACTTGTAATTAAAAAGTGATCGAACCAGAAATTATTGTCTGATATAAAATTCATTCAAAATTCAGGTGGCAGCTCTCATATTTGAAGTTTTTTACGAAAGCTAGAAACTTTATTTATGTAATGCATGGTAAAGCTTCGGTGTTACTTGGCAAGCGATGTGTTTTTTTTTTAAAGTAATTTTAAACAATTTTTTGTAAAATTTTCATCATTCGAAATTCGAAGTTCCGGTGTTTATTAATAAAGATTCTTAACATTTTATAACAACTAAGAGTTGTCAAAGAAAACTTCAAATAATTAACTGCAAAGCTTTCAGCTTTTTCTCTCATATTTTTATTGTTTCAAGATTCAATTACCATCCGTTTTACATAATTAGGGGTGTCATGATTACCGCAAAAAAGACAAAAGCCGCAAATCCACATGCTCGATTAGCTATTAAACGCTTAAGCTATTACTTTGCGGTTTGTCTTTACACTATCTGGAATTAAGCTTTCTCAATTAAGTGAGGAGTATTGAAGCTAATTGCTTGTGCACACGGCATAGTTGTATATTTACTTAAGTCCACAGGCTTTTCGCATATTCAATGGCGTAGTAAATAAAATGTCTGCAGAGGGTATGAATTTCTTACGCCCTTATTTCTGTTGCAATGGCATATAGTTCCATATTTATTTCAAAAATACATTCTCATCGAAATTTTTTAAAAGATTGTGTCTCCAACCCTAGAAATTTTGTTTAAGGCTCCACGTCCTACAAGACTTCTTATCTGTTCATTGAGTATTATGTGTTCCTTAAGACTGACTTCTATGAAGAGCTGTTGCATAGAAGGGGGATTTAAAAACCTTTATGGTTAGAGTTGGTTAGTTTGGAATTATTGATAGTCCGATTGTTGAAGAATGTACAGTTATTTAAATAGCAAATTTTCTAAAGCTTTTGGCGAATTAAGCTCATATGGCTTTACTAATAGTAATTATATATCAGTTCATTTTGCTCTAAATACTACAAATAAGATGCGTTAAATAAAATATTTTAGTATACTGGCTTTTTATAAATAGTCTATAATATTTCATAACAAATTTATTGATAATAAACTGGGGTTTTCGGCGTAAAGTGAACGTAAAATAAAATAGAGAAAACTAATTGTTTAGAAACAGTATGTAAACGGCCAAAAAATGGTGTCTATTAAAATTAGTTACTTATAAAGTAGTCACGAATTTCTGCCGGATGTCATAACTCTCTTAAACCCCCTTTGTGACGCCAGTTTTGTATGTACAACCCATGTTTAAAAATAAAATAACATTTTCATTACTATTTTTTCTGAGTTTTTCATTTGCTCAATTTGAGTTAAGTTAACCACTGGTTATTTGACACGCATTGACGATATCAAGTGACTTAATTCCCTTTATTTTGCTGCCGACCAACAGGTGTACCTCGCTTTAATGCAAAAGCTTTTAATGCAGTTAAATGCATTGTCAATCAGAGCGAAAATGTGTACAACTATATGAGAATATATAATACATATTAGTATACTTATATATATGTGTATGTGTCCTATACAGAAGTAATTAAGCTTAATTCTAATTTAAACAAAAACAAAAAACTATATCTTTTACACTTTTTCAGAATTTTTTGTAGTTACAAATTAACCCGTTATTTTATTTGCTTCCATTGCAGATAATTCATGTGAACGCCCCCTGTTAACTTTGATGCAATATAAAGTGCGCGGCAAGAACATTGAATATACGAATTATAATGAATTATCAACCAGTATCCTACTATTTTATCAATAACTAAAGTCACAAAACGAATATCCACATTAAACTGGTGTCCACAAAAAATTAGAAAAAAATTTAATCTAATAATAAAGGCTAGATATGTGAATAACACGAATGACGTAGTTAGCAAGCGAATAAAATATACAAACGAACGGTTTTTTGTTTAAATTTTCTTCACTTTTTTACATTAAATTAATACTTGATAAAATAAAAACGCGAAACAATTAAATACGAGCAATATTTAACAAATATTAATAAAACTTAAAACGAACTCTTTGAAAGCATAATCGGTCGGTTAGTGTATTAATTGTAACCAAAATAGTATTTTTTAAAGACCCACAAAAATGGCAATGCTCGAGGCCCGGCCTTATCGGCCTTTCAAATCGAGCGAAGAGTACTTAGAGGCGATGAAAGAGGACTTGGCCGAGTGGTTGAGCACGCTTTATCCAGATTTAAATATTAATGCGGAGAATTTTATGGATCGTCTAGATACTGGAGTCGCACTATGCAAGGTAAGTTCATTAAAATAAATTTAATAATTAATCATTATGAATCAGCAGTTCCCAAACAAATGTTAGACAAATATCACAGCAATCGTCGTTACAAATTCAACGATTATTTTAAGCCTAGGCATTTTAAAGCTTCAAATAAAGGGAGCTTCCAGAAATATACAATATTTAAGGATTAATCCCCTCCACTGATGCAGTTACATACATAAGTATATCGACGTAACTGATGACTTAAATTAAGGACCAAACAGACTATATAGGATTGCCGGAAACCCTCACTACTTCAAATTCGAAAGCCACGAAGTTTGTAACACGCAGAAGATAATATATGTATGTATATAAATGAGCAGCGTGACGAGCTGAGTGCTGCCTGTTCGTCTTTCGTTTGTATATACGCGAAGTAGTCCCTCAGTTTTTGAGTTATCGATCTTAAATTTTTTACACGTTATTTTCCTCTAAGAAGTTATTCAATTGCTGGAGCCGCCAATATTGGACCACTATAGGATATAGCTGCCATACAAATTGATCGATCAAAATCATGAGATCATGTTATACTTGTAAGTTATGTACTTGTAAAGTATATAGTATATAGCTTTGGTGCAGCCAATTTTAACGTCTTGTTTTTTTGTTTAATTAATGCGAACTATTTCTATTAAAAAACGCCAACGCCTTCAAGGCAATCACCTATGCAAAAAGCTCAGTTTCACTTTTCTCAATTTCAGCATCATTTGCCAACAATGTGAACCAAAATAAGAAACAATAAAGGTTTTCATTAATTTTAATGAATTTTTAATTTTCCGCGAACAATAGAATCGCACAGAATTTAATTACGCCTGCCGCCATTAGCGAGTATGTGTAGGTCTGCAACTTTTACTTTCGATTCATTGCAACGAATGCTAAGTCTGCGTGCAGACATAATGACAATGCATAAATTTCAGCATAGTGGTACCTACATATGGGTGAGTGTGTATGTGAGCACTGGCGAGAGGGCTAAAATGTGCACCTTGCAACCGACAGCTTGCGGCAATACGAACTTTGTGGTGCACTTGGCAATGAACGATTATGCGTCGAAGAAGCTGCATGTGGCACATTTTAGTGCATTGCTTGCACGTTGCATGCGACACGTCCGTGCACACCAGCAATTTGTGTTTCGTTCACAAATTCACTCACACGCACGCACATACACACAGCTATTTGCTTGCAGCGCTGTGAATTTATTGTACAAGCTGAAATTGCAGCTGCAGCATCTTTGTCCCGTTAGTATATGTGTTGTTTGCTGTTATTTGTCGCTGTAACACCGCGTCGCCGCTCCCCCACCTCGCCAATTAGTGCCATGCCAGCTTACTTTATTTGCCACCACTGTTTGTTGATGTGCACTAAAGGCAGCTTTTACGGCTGCAGACATTTGTTGTTGTGGCTGTTTTATAATTTTTTGTTGTTGTTGTGTTGGCTGCCCTTTTGCTTCTGCTTTTGCCTTCTCATGTGGCGCTTTGCGTTGACGCGCATATGTTGCCCATTTGTGGTGTTTTTGTTGCTGTTGTTGTTTTTGCAGTGCAATGAATGGGGCGTTTATGTTAGCATTGTCGCATTGATATCATTCTACGCAGCTATCTTCCACACATACACATATATATGTATACATACACACAGTCCTCGATTTGACAGTTGTTGCATTATTGCTGAGAGTCGTAAGCTCCCCGTCAGCTGATAAATGTCGCATAAAAGCAGTGCGCCTTTTCCATTAAAAATTATATGAACGCATTATTTGTGAAGTCATATGCCACCACAGTAGTTGCAACAAATAAATATGTATATTGCACCTCGAGAAGAGCTGAAAAATATTTACCCCATAGCAATAATGAAAAGATTTTCTTATAATCGGATCATCAAGCTGGGCTAAAACGCTATTTTAAAATGCTATATTTCAGTTTACTTCCTCACCGATCCTCAAGCATATTTCTTAGCACTGATTTCTCGAAATTTGGTTGGATACCAGTCCATGATTGACATCAAAAAGTCGTTGAGTCGGGATTTGAGACTATTGTTATTGTGCCTACTGATATTATCCGAAGAGTAGGTCGTTACAAGCATTAATCTCCTGAAACCCGGATGTATTTTATGAGAAGCCTTTACATTTCAGAAATCGACTCGGTAGTTAGATATTGCCGAAGAAGTGTCGTTAATTGTGAAACTCTTATTTCTGTTATTACATTCTTCATTTTAAAACATTAAAAAATAAGTATGTATGCTTTTATACGAGGTGTGTTCAGAAAAGTCCAATTGTCAAACTGTTTTTATGATGTTGAAGTATGATAAAAATTTTAGACGTGTTTCAGTGCAAGAAAGCTCCTCAATAATTTATGAAATCGAAAACACGGGAGATATTACAGTCATTTTGAAATTTGCCTAAGTTTGAAAAAATATACTCGACTGATATATTTCCGCTGCTAAATCAAATACTCACTCCCCCATTTTCGGAGTGCAACTACCATTATTATGCAACTTAAAGAGTATGAGACGATAAAAGTCGGATTTTGTTTTCTCTTATGGAATCGCTCACTCAGGTGCCCAAAAGTTAGAACCAGTGTCAAGGTAACTTGAAAAAATTAGCAAAACTCTTCTTACAAGCAAATAACAAATAGGTCTTGAAAAGTTCGTCGAGTCAGTTATATCTTTCAAATGTTTTTAGGTATACACTCAAACGTGTGTACCTATTTAGCTTCGAAATCTCAAGTTTTTGTGATTATGATCACACTTTGTGCACGGACTAGTTTCGATCCATGAGACATTGATTTAGAGGGCGCTATTTTATCCAGTAGGCAGTGCGATTTACTTCAAGCATTGGTATAAATAAGTATATACATACTTATATGTATATTCGCGTATTTATACTCATCTGCACCCTACATTTAATGCATTTGTATGACAAAAAGCCAGGGGAGTCAGTTGCGTGTGAGTACATTGCACTCGACTCTCATCATCCGGTTCACAGAAATTCACTTTTGTTATTGTAGTAAATGCTGTGTTTTTCTTTTCCAAGTTGCCTTCTTGATTTCATGCTGTTGCTGCTTTAAAACTGATTAAATAAATTATAATCCATACACATTTGGAAACACAGACCAATGAGAAATCTCTCATTACTGTAATCAACTTATAAGTGACAGTGAGGGAGAATTTTCAATTATTATGTATTCATTCATTTAATGCGTACAAGTGAGCTGCGCCTTTGTAAAATAAAATATGTAAAAATTTTCCATTTTGTCGCGTAGGGTGCATTAAACTTTATTATCGTTATCATCTTGTTAATATTTTTGCTAAAAACCATGTGAATTTTGAATACCTTTTTCGAAAGAATGTTTGAAACTTAAAAAAATGTGGAAACATTGTTTATTTTGTATCAAAATAATGAGGAGAAAAAAATAAAGAAAATTTTTAATGATTTAATATCTCAGAAACGGTAGCTCTTAGGAAAAAAGTATTGGGACATTTTTATACCCTGAGTAGGGTATATTAAGTTTGCCACCAAGTTTGTAACACCCAAAGGGAAACGTCGGAGACCCATTTCACTGAAAATAGGGAGCGAGCGAGGAGTTTTAGTATATTATTTTTAATGAAATACACATATATTTTGAATTTTGTGAACAAAAGAAGAAGAAGCTCAAGATTTAGTGAACAGCATATCTTGCCTTTGTTTGTCGAACAGAGATCAATGGTCAGATAGCGCTCATGCTTTACAACAGTGCAAATTATGTCTCCCCACGCTAGAAAGTAAATTTTGCTACCCACATCAATCAGTATTATAAACTTAAAAAGGACCGGTCGATCGATCTTTTCCAACTCTTTGCGGTGTGATATGTTATGTGTTGTTTTAAAATCACATCAATGCAGTTTTGGAAAAGCTCTTTAAAGTCAGAATGACACTATAAATTTTGTCTAGGCAATAGAGATGAATTAAGAGAAGCCCTCTAGCAAAAGTTAATGTTATTTGGTGTGGTTAGTGGGGCTGACAACTAATATTTTTATCGAATCAATGTTCTAGCAGTTCTATATTCATATGTATGTTTATTTTTATAGCCCACAAGTACAACTCAATCCAGCACATCTTGCATTAAAATGGGTTGTGACTGAAAGCGGTGCATTTCACGCTGAGGAAATTGCAAGCCCGACAAAAGCAGATGCCTTATTGACGCAAGCAATTAACATCACATTTACAACGTAATAAAAAACACTTTTACTCATTTTATGCCTGCACATATATACATACACAAACAGATTTTTGGTGCTCTTGTGTACATACGTATGTGCATACATCACTCTGACACCAATCAAGCGGAAACAAATATTTCAACATCTGCAACAACTCCACAGTCTATAGATAAGAAAGCGGCGATGTTGTGAAAAAGGGGACGAATGGGAGTGGTGAACGCAGGCTTTTTGGAGCTACACATTGCATCCATCAGATTTCGATTAAAATACGACCTGTTTATTTAACAGAAATGCGCATAAATGCAACACACACACACATATATACGAGTATACTTAAGCTGATATGTGTGTGTATTTGTTTTAACGCTTATGCAGACGGAGCTAGGGGAGTCTCTAAAAATGTTCACACGTTGCGTAGCATTTAGCTTTGGTAGTCCATTCCAGTTACACACCTCTCGCCCCTCCTATTGTTGTTGCAGTCGACCGTTTCATCGATGTGGTGAAAAGTAAAGCTGCAATGCGTTGCGTAAATATTGGGTTAAGCGCAAAGTTTACTTAATATTCGCCGCTTCGACATACTTCGGCACCCTCCCTCCACAAACAATCCGAGAGAAATCATAAATGTGCCAAAAACAATATGCTCACAGAGGTAGGCGTGTGTGAGTGCAACCGCGGAGCTCGGTGTCGGTGGGCATAAACAAAGCAAATCTCTTCTTTTCTAATGGTTTGCGTGGCTTCAAAGTTGTGCAGCGTGTGGTTGCCACATGTTCTGGTGGATTTCAGTACAACTCTTTGAT